GCAATATTCATCAGCGACGTCACTGTCCATAGCCATAACGTTCTTCTTTCGGGACGCATGTTCTACTGAGGTAATACCTATTACAGTAATATGAATATCCATCGAGAAACTTTCACAAAGTGGCGGTACGAAAAGACTGAAGGGGAGGGCACTGTGACCATTTGCGGTCCATTTTTGAAGGCAGAGGTAGGGTTTGCAAGTGCGCAAGCGCGGCGACGTCTGTGAAGGTCTAGACGGAAAGAAGCAGAGACGATTGTATGGCAGAGGAGGAGAATACGCAGTAGACGCCAGAACTGCGCACTCAAGAACGCTCCTTATTATTCTCTGTGATAGCTGTATGAACCACTGATCCGTTCTTTCCGACGTCAAGTAAGGAGGAGTGGCTGTTTCTGACGGCACTTATTTTCGACCACGATCGTACGGGACCGGGGAAAATGTTCCGTAATTGGAAATAAACGAGGAACTCATATACCACGAGCGAAGGGAAAGAATCTTTCGGAATTCACCATGATTTGACTCAACATATTGCTGAGGGTTGAGCAGCGGCAACCAGCGCCGCTTACCGCACTCTTTATTCCAGGGCCACGCCTCTGATAGAGTGCCACTCGATGAACTGAGCTTCTCAGTCCTGTACAACTGGTACAACATTGGATAGCGCAGTTCGACTTGGTGAGGGCACTAAAGGGTACTCAGCTGAGCTTTTACAGGCAAGCTTGTGAAAACCATTGAGTTCCTGTTACAGAAGGGGCTCACTAGTACCATTTCGCAGCTTAGGAGTTTACAGGTCTCCCCAAAGTGAGATATGTCATAACACATGAATTTGCAAAAGGAACTAGCGAAAGTGCAAAATGCCCCTTCCAATCCATCGCTAGACTAGCCTGCTACTATTCAAGCGCTGATCCAAACCTTAAGTGGATTCAAAAATTGTTGTATGGGCAAGACTACATTGAATATCCAGCACATTTCTGAACGGAGATGCAATGCTTCTTATGATCTGGGTGAAATAGTTTTCTTCTAGCTGACTTGAAGTTTTTTTTGGGTGTGGATAATGTACGGTCCGGCCGAAATAGGTGTGAAGAAGGGGCATAAGTATCAAACATAGCTGATCAGACTTAAGGAAATTGGAGGTTGCTTCATATGCACTGGTGGAGGAAATCTATTATTGCGCTGGACATCACGCGGATTACCGAGTGATTCGGTAGCTTCATTCCTTATGATGGTAATGATAATTCTAAATAGATCCCTCAAGCTTTTGGAAGAGAAGTTGGGAAAATCATAAAAAGTTCCTTTTAAGACAAGTCCTTTTAAGAGCGTGAGTTAGGACATATAGAACTGGAAGCGCCATCGCTCTAGATAGAATGTTTGCTCAGAACGAGTCGACCACGCTTCGACCCACTGGTTAGAAACCGGGTTCATAACTATGCCTAGAAAGTAAAATAATGGAAAGTTCAGTTCCCGGCATGCCCCACACCCCTTTACTCTTTCTCGGCAGCTTTCCCCCCCGGGTTACTAATAGCCCTTTTATATCAAATTCCCTATTCATTCAGATGAGCGCAACAGTTCAACGAGGTATTAGAAGGGCCCAGCTGCAGAACTATGTCCAAAGAATATGTACAACTAAAGGAAGGATCAGGCACTGGTTGGTGAAAAACCCGTGGTGCTCGCGGTGAACTTTTTTTCGACCGAATAGGATCAGCTGAACTACAGTGATTTCGAAATTCATTTGCATAAAACGATTACTGAAGGATAGGTTTCAGAGTGCGAACTGCCAAAGCATACTAAAACTGCGACTAGTCAAGGATCAGAGTACTTTTTTAGCTTAGGTAACGTCCCCACCGTTAGATAAACTGTTTGCGGGGTATGGTGAACTAGCTTCTGGGAGACAGGAAGAATTTGGGCATCGAGAAATACCTTATCTAAATGGGATGCGGTACTCCCACAACAGCTCAAGGAAGGCGTTGAGGAGCAAAAAAGACGGAAATGCCAACGAATTGAACTGGGAAGGTTCTGGATTCCCACTGGAAAACCCAGAACGAACGGCTGAGACGAGTGTCCTTCTATACAAGTGACTATCGCTCTCGTGTGGTAGTGGGCTACTCTTCCCGTGAATGTCGGTTAGTTTGTTTTTGGGACATTCGTGTCTTCTCGAGGGGTACCTGACTCGATGTCGGAACCACAAGAGTCGATCGCGTGCTAGATGGAGTATTACGCAGTTCCAACAGTCAGGACATATTTAGGTTTTTGAACACGCCGATTCGGACTGATAGTGAGGTCGAAGGCTCACAGAACTAATGTTCCAAGATGCAGCGTTATGAAACACAAATCTTCGCAGTACGGGTGATGTGTGGTGGTGTCAGTACGACCCTTACCCTTCCTTAACACCCACCTTCCACTTTCCTACATGTTCGCAGCTTCCTACCAATTTTCTCCGTGATTCCCGAGATTCCCCGGAAAGAGTGGGGTAGAGGTCGTAAGAAACCAACCACTATTTTGAACAATAGCGGTTATGTGAAATTTCGGCGGCGCCACCAACTAGGGAGTAGGCGCGAGGGAGGAGGTGAGAGGGGTATATGGCAAATGTTGAATGGGAGAATTCGCGAAAAGTCAACAATCGGAAAAATTTTTTCCAATGCAGCAATTGTCTCTTAAAGGTACATACGACCTCGCCCCCCCCCCTCAGTGATCAAGTACAACCTCCCCTCCCCACAGCGGACACGTGCGCCCCACCGCCAGCATCGAACAGGGTGCAGTCATCGTTTGTTTTCACACAGCGATGCTGTACCACTGTTCGCATAGGAAGAGAAATTTGCTCAGCAGAACTGCTCTTACCACATGAATAGTTGAATATTCAGCCCACTATCCTGGGCATTTATAGTTACAATTCTCTCAGACAGGGTGCAGCTGCAGCTTCGCTGAGAGAGTCCTGTCAGGGGATCAAACCAGATCGCTGGGGATGGAAGGTCGAAATTGTCCCAAGAAAAAAATTTTTTTCCGCTCCCTTACTTTGGGCCAGAAACGCACTGTATCAGCACGTATTTACCGATTATTTTGAAATTATTGTTTGGTGGTGACCTGAATAACCTCAACGCTTACGATTTGCATTTGCGAGGAATAACCGGGGGAAACTTAGAAAAATGGGGAAAGTGCTGGGAAGTTGGCGGTACACAGGAGGGTTGTTGGTAGGACGGGAAAGACGGGTCGTACCACTGAGGAACTTTGTGGAGGGGGGGGAAGGAATCGTAGGAGTCGTACTAACATGGCTATAACACTAATCACGATAGTGTCGCCAATTTTTTCGATTTTCTTGGCGAAGTTCCCGATAGTCACAAGTTTGCATGATTTCCCTCTGAGATTGCACAGCTGCTTTGGAACATATTTGCACTAGCAGGATTACTACTATCAGGTGCAGGCCTTATTGAGATGAACACACACACACAATCTCTTCCAAAGAGACTGAGGCTCCACCCCTCAGAATCTGCTCTGAATTTGCAAGCCCCTGCCTTGTTTTGAACTTTGGGTTTCAAGTTCTGAAATCTCGTAGTCCGCAAGACTTGGCGAAGATTGGTAACGTCAGCTTTCCCTCCACAAACCATATTGAACAGTCCGAAATCAGTTTCTGCAAGACGGATAAAACGAGCCTGCGAGCGGCCACTATAGGGTTTTATAGTCTGTATCGCTGTGGATCTTCGGCGTGTAAGGGAGCAATTTGTTCGCAGCAAGCCGCCCAGCCTGTCATGCACCTAACTGTTGCCGACTGCCCAATTTCAGAGTTGTTGAACGAATGGCGTCGCGCCGAGACCTCCTTCCTGGCCCCCCCCCTCCCAACCCCCTTAAAACACTCCACTCATCCCCAGCGCACAACGAACAAGACGGTGGCTCACTAACCACTTTGTCCGAGCCAACCAGTCCTAACGAAAACGAGGCTACACAACCCATATCTACCCTGTGGCTTATTAAGCCTGAGGTAGAAGTAAAATAGAAAGTTCGCTCCCGACCGAGAAGTTTGAAAGTTAGAAGTTGCATTCGAATTGCTGCTGTCGGTTCTGGAAACAGTTTGCGTTCCGTCACAGGACAAAGTGCCCTTTACGCGTTCTGTCACACTGTACGGACAAAGTGCCCTTTACGTTCAAGCGCACTTACCTGACAATGATTTTTGACCCCACCTCTCGAAATTGGCCGGAGATGGCCAGTGTGAATTTCTAGTGACATTCCCCTTCTCCCCCCCCCCCACATTCAAAATGAGGCAGGTGGGAGCTGTAGTTACCAAAAATGAGACCACTCTGAAACCTGAGGTGTCCTGGGAACGACACTGGCACAGCCACATGTCAGTGTCGTTCAAAACGCCCTATTCCTAGTGATTTTTCACTCCATCTTTCAGAACATGATAAGGTTAGCCCAAAACGGTATAAACCTTCAATTACTTCTTCTCCGGGGGAAATGAGATGGGGCAGATCGGTGTGCAACCACTCACTTCGAGGAGTCCTAGGTCTATGCGTGCAGTTGTCATAACCATGGTCACCCCCACCCCCTCCCTACCCCTACATCATGTGCTTATCCCGTGTTGATGTCACTGTGACACGAATTCCTGAAACGTTTATTAAAAAACAACTAATATGTACGACACTCAGGCACTTGAGAGCGATCTTCACAGCTGGCGGTAAGTCGATTGTAGATGAGTCCAGCTGGGCAGTAGAACATACGTGCATTACCGCTGAAGCACACCAAATACCTGGAAAGCAGCAGTCGTAATTCACCAAGCATGGTACGCAATTGCATCCAAAACCCACGGTTTTTGGACCTACTTGTTTTGACAGCCGAGTTGATGGATACCGTCTGCACGATTGCTGCATGGATTTGAGCATTCCTCGACGTCACTCTCAGGTTCACATCGTTGCAAAGCTTGAGAGAATTTGAGCGTGCCAGGGCATTTGAGCTGAAAAGTACGGTAGACGCTAGGAGATCGCCTTCTGCTCAAAACAACTGGTCACCAGCCCGCTCGTCCTACTGGCTAAACTCGGACGAGCATGGTTGTATAGCACGACAACCGCCGGGATCGATCGCCGGACGGCAATGGTTCCTGCCTATGTCCAGGGGGCAATGGTTCCCAAAAAAAGGATATCATACATTACGGCGATCCTTCCCTCATAGAACTGCTATATGAACGAAATACAGGTGGGAGTTAAATGCACAGCGGCAACATACAATTATGATTAAAGGGCCACGCCGCGTAAGTCTCACGTCCGACCAGATGTCGTCTCACGTTCGCCTCGGCGGCATAGCTCCAAAGGACGCGCAGACGCGTCGCCCTGCAGAGCTTTTCTGAGTGTGGGAATCGGTTAAGGCGAGACAGAATGCATCTACAAGTGAGCCAGGGGTGTGAAGGAGTAACGACTGAACTAAACTGGTGAGGGAGCCCCAACGTGGGCGACGTCACGTGCCGGCCTCCTGTCACAGACATTAGGCAACCCTGTCGCAGCCGTGCGCCGAAAGTGGCTTAAGTGTTTGGGTACGCAACTGCGAACGCTAAACCTGAGCTGTCCGAAAAACATAGTTGAGTTCCCAGTTCAAATATTTTTAGCTCTATTCGGCTTAGGAGGGGCGTTTTGCATTTTGGCCAGTTCCTTTTCTAGTTCATGTAAACTAACTGGTAAACTCTCGTGAAGATACAGGTAAATCGTTTTGATTACAAAAATTAGCAAAACTTCCCAAGATGACCTGTACAGCATCATCTGGTGACCCCTCCAAGCCGAACTGCGCCCTTTCTTTCAGTAAAGTTCAGTGTACCTTGTAGTATTTGCCAACTATGCAAGCCTTGTATTCTGTAGAACATCCGTCTGAGTAGTATCCATCAGTTCTTCCAACACAGAACACATCTGGAATGATTAATGAATTCAAAGTAGTTGAACTGTGACCATAATACTATCGATGATGCCTACTGGTCCAAGTGGGGATTTTCGAGACACAGAAAGCTGATCACTTGGGGACTCCAGAAGGGAAAGGGGTGGTACCGAAGAGGCATTCGTCACGTTCTTTGTGTCCTTACAGCGCTATGAGAAGATGCCATGGGAGACATTCTCCTTGGCAGAAGGATCCCTGTCCAGTGGGCACCGTAATGGTTTCCATTGCACAGGCTCGGTGGGAGGATCTATGACAGTCCCGGCTGGAGCC